GCGCGAGTGCAGCAAAGCTTTCGCGAGAGAGCTTTCAGCTTGCAGCTGCACTGATAGTGCTGGCAAAACAGTCACTGCAGTGACAGTGCTGACACTAAAGTCACAATTTGTGATCAATCACTTGTTACAAAAATACGGGTTATTTTTGTAATTAAGTGTAAAAAACTTGTTTTGTTTTTATTTTTTATTCTTTTTTCTCCCTGTGGGGAAAAAATTATAACAAAGTAAAGAACAATGGCTACAAACAACCGACCCCAAAACAACGAAGAAATTCATTCGCCAATCTACCCGCTGCCGAACAGCTCAATTATATCCCCTACAAATATAGCCGCTAATGTCGATCGCCTCGACGGAAGCAGGCCACTGGAAGATTTTTACCAATATTACAACAACGTGCTCGCCAGTAGTGCAAACCGGAACGGCGCCTCCACCTCGCTGTCAGCCGGTACCCAGCAATGCTCGACTTGGCAACCGCAACAGCACGGCACTGTCAGCACAACGACAGCAACAACCACCACAACCACAGCGTCATCCAGCAGCGGCTGCAGGACATCTGCCTCAACAGGCACAAGCCGCGCCGCTTTAGAGCCCATCGGGACCCGCCCCAAAGCCGCCAATCCGACCTTGCAGTCCACCCCTTATGGCACCCAGGCAGCTGGTTCTTGTGTCACAAACCCCCCTCTGCCTCCCATAAAGAACGCAGGTGCTACGCCAGCCTTCGAAGAGCCACTGGTAGATTGGCAAACGGTTTCCGCAAAAAAACGGCGTGGGACTACATTATTATCCGAAGGCGTAAAAAAAGGGAAGCAACTAAATAACCGCAACACCAGCCGCGCTGGAGCTAAGCCCGCAACTCCCAGTACCGCTTCGGCAATTAGCAACAGATATGCCTCCCTTGAGCCTCAGGAAGACGCCTCTGTAATCGATGACGGCGAGATGGACACTGCCGACGAAGCGCCTCCAGTCACAGACCAACAACAATCAGCGAAAAAGATCTCCAAACCCAGGCCGATAACAGTCCCTGGAGTCAGCGATATTGTCGCAATGGAGCGAACCATAGATCAGGCAGTGGGCGCAGACGCCTATGAATTCAAGGTCTCTCCCTCTGGCTATCTAAGAATTTACGCCAAAGATGCCGACACCCACAGAGCAATTGTCCGCAAGCTCACTGAAGTGAGAGTGCAATTTACCCACTTCTGCCTAAAGGAAGACAGACCATACCGCGTTGTGGTTAAAAATCTGGCCGCTTCCACTCCCAGAAGCCAGATTGAAGCTGCCTTTACATCGCACGGCCATATTGTGACGAACCTTTACAACCCGGGCGCCAGACAGCCAACAAGTGATGCAGACTCCACCAACGACTTTCCAAGTCGCAACTTCTGGTTTGTCGATCTCAAGCAGTCTCTTAACAACAGGGAAGCGCTGCGGCTCAACAAGGTTGGCCGCCAACGGGTCACTATTGAGCTTCCGAGGAAGAACAATAGTATAAGGCAGTGTTTCCGCTGCTTCGAGTTCGACCACACCAAAAACTACTGTCTCAAACAGCCCAAGTGTGGTAGGTGCGGTCAGTCCCATTGGACAAACTCCGAGCAGTGCCAGGCCAAAACAGTGGCAGACCTGCGATGCTCCAACTGCGAGGGAAACCATGCTGCTTCCTATAAAGGATGCAAAAGCTATCAGGTGAGACTAAATGCCAGGCAGCCGGCCATCAATGTCTCCCCTCCTACACGATATAGCCATCCTCAAAATACACGAAGAACCACTCAGCAGTTCGTACCTTCCCGAATTGTGCAACAGGGCCTGTCGTATGCTGATGCGCTACGGCCAGGCCATCATGTACAAGTCCGCCAACCCCCAGCGCGCACTCTTCAGCCCACCGTCAATCCAATGCAGCTCCAACAACCACTGCAAGGGCCTCAGGAGCAAGACGCTTCCCTTGGAGGCATCCTTCAAAACCTCCAGCAGTCCATTGCAGCACTGAATGCCGCAGTTGCAACCATTCTGGTTAGCATTAAAGAGCTAAAGGATGCGCAAGGTTCCCCGCAGCTTAGATTCCCAAAAAGCCGCAAATAATGGCTACCCAGTTACGTCTCGGATCGTGGAACGCTCGTGGCATCCTCCAAAATGCTAACGAGCTCAAGCTTTTTCTGAAAAAGCATGATGTAGACATCATGCTCATCTCAGAAACACATCTGCACACAAACTTGTACCTAACAATGGAGGGGTACGTCTGCTACCGTGCGGATCACCCTACAGGACGAGCCAGAGGTGGTGCTGTAGTGCTGGCAAAGCAGGATTTAGCACACTACCATCTACACACAGTGACCTCCAGCGACACACAGCTGGCTGCTATCATGGTGGAGACTCCCTTGGGCGAAATCCTCGTTGCGGCAGCATACCTACCACCAAACATCCCCTGGAACCGAGCGGAATTTGATTCCCTGTTTGGCCAGCTTGGCCCCAAATTCATCGTTGGAGGCGACTTCAACGCTAAGCACAGACTGTGGGGAAACTACAGAGCTGACAGCAGAGGCACTGCGCTCCATGAGGCGCTCACTCCCTGCTCAGCCCAGGTACTGGCCACCGGTAGACCTACCCACTTTCCGTACAACCGGCAAAGTACGCCTTCCTGTATCGACTTTTTTATATTCAAGGGCATCCCCAACAGCGTACTATCGGTTCGCGAAGAGTATGATCTATCTTCCGACCATCTGCCACTCCTCACAACGATCAACACGGCTGCACAAAGGATCCCAAAAAAGCGCAGGCTTGTCCTCCCTGGGTCGAACATCCAACGATTTAAGGCCGAACTAAATAGCTTGATCAACCTAAACACGCAGATTCTGTCAGTTGAGGACGTCGACGCTGCAGTACAAACCCTGTTGGACCAAGTACATGCCGCAGCCGCCAACGCTGCGCCCGCACATATCTACTCAGCCCCTACAAGCCAGCGGCCAAGGACGTTTTCCCCCATATTGGAAGGTCTTCTCGCCCTAAAAAAGCGACTGAGGAGGGAGTATGTCCGTACCCAGGACCCCACGATTGACAGGATCTATCGTCGTATTGCTAACAGGGTCAGGAAGGAGCTGATTATCTCGAAAAGAAATGCCACAGACACCATGCTGGAGGAAGCAACGGCAGACGAGAGCTCCAAATTCGCGCTGTGGAAACTTAGCAGTCGATACAAGCGGCAAGCTGCGCCAAAGTTCCCCGTTCGACTTCCCGATGACACCTGGGCCAGATCACCAATGGACAGAGCCGAAGCCTTTGCCTGCAACTTGGAGGAGCGCTTCAAGCCGTTTGAGACCGCATCGCATGCAAGGATACAGCGAGTCGCGCAAATCCTGGAGGCGCCACTCCAAATGTCACTCCCTGTATCGCCAATCACCTTCCAAGAAGTAGAGCAGGAGATGAAGAGATTAAAAAGCAGCAAAGCCCCTGGGGAAGATCGGTTGGACAACCAGACAATCAAGCTACTGCCATACAAGGCGGTGCTTTTTCTCGTCGCCATTTTTAATGCAGCTCTTCGGCTAGGTTACTTTCCAGTGGCTTGGAAGAAGGCACATATAATCATGTTGCACAAGAGCGGAAAGCCCCCTAATCAACTGGGATCCTATCGCCCCATCAGCCTCCTGCCTGCCTTTGGTAAGATTCTGGAAAGGTGCATCCTCAGAAGGGTCCTGGATACCCCGGAAATAAAACGCTTGATCCCGAAGTTCCAGTTTGGGTTTCGACTCAAACACGGTACCCCTGAGCAACTACATCGGGTCACAAATTATATTTTGGACGGCTTTCACAGGAAAGAGTATGTGGTGGCAGCATACCTTGACATCCAAGAAGCCTTCGACCGGGTGTGGCACGCAGGACTCCTCTCTAAGATAAAGGACAAATTGAATCCGCAGCTATTTAGCACCATTGCGAGCTTCCTAACTGAGAGAACCTTTCAAGTGGTGCAGGATGGAGTAGCCTCTCAAACCAAACGCATAAAAGCGGGCGTTCCACAAGGCAGCGTCTTGGGTCCCACGCTATATAGCCTGTTTACACATGACATGCCCACAGCAAATGCAAGCAGACGGAATGATCGGCAGGACCTTCTGGTGGCCACGTTTGCTGACGACACGGCAATCCTTGCAAAAAACAAATGTGTGTACGTGGCAACTGACCTCTTGCAGGAATACCTCAAGCGATTTGAAAACTGGGCTTGTAGATGGAACATCGCAGTGAACCCTGGAAAGTGCGCCACGGTTACCCACACTCTACGCAAGGACTCATGCCCCGGACTTTTTCTTCATGGTGAGCTTCTAGAGCAATATCGTCAACACAAGTACCTAGGTGTCACTCTCGACAGACGACTTACATTTAGTAAGCACGTCTCTGCAGTAACGAGCAACATCAAATCTAAGATAAGGCGAATGAGCTGGCTCCTCAACTCCAAAAACAAACTCTCGCTCCGAAACAAGGTCCTAATCTACAAGGTAATCCTTGCCCCAGTGTGGCGTTACGGGCTTCAAGTTTACGGTATAGCTGCAAAAACACACCTGAACAAAATTCGCATCATTCAGGCCAAAACCCTGCGCAAAATAACTGGAGCCGAATGGTATATTCGCACACGCGACATCGCCAAGGACCTCAAGGTTCCAATGGTGGGCGACATAGTCAACAGGCAAGCAGCGAGCTACTCAACAAAGCTCCACAACCATCCAAACATCCTGGCGAGGAGCCTGCTAAGGAGGCGAAGAAGAAGGCGACTGAAGAGGACCTACCCAACCGACCTAATCGATCGTTATGTATAGGTGACAAGCTTCGTTAATTACACCAAAATATGTTTCTGTAATCTGTTAACCTAATTGTATAACTAATTGTAAAACCACAATCATCGCTAAGCTAAGTAATTATGTCACTCTGATAAAAGTTGCTAACATAGAGTAACAGGATACCAGATTTCTTAATAAACAAAATATAAAAAAAAAAAAAAAAAAAAAAAAAAAAAAGTTTCAATGTTTCTCGTTTTGCAAATCCGTTGGCCACTTAGAGATAATATGTGTATCCTTTTTTGCACACACATTTTTCTTTTTTCTTAAATGCTTAAATTTTCAGCTCGATGGTCTGCATATGCAAAACTCCTTGGCTCTGGGTGAAGTCACGCAATAAGAGTCATTTCGATAGACATTCAAACGTTCTATCAGCTCCTCACGTACTCTCACGATATTAGCGTTCAGATTGGTAAAAACTGTTGCGCGAAACGCACCTTTTGGTCGAGTTGTAAGTCTCAAGCGATACGAATAAAATCCATCATCTGACTTCACCTCGTTACCTTTAGCATCCAAGTACTGCTTGCGATACGCTCTTAACAAATTCCTAAGCTCCAACCGGTAGCACTGCCCGTCATAATTATTCATCCTCAGATATTGTCTAATGCGATATACAACCAACTTGGCCATTGCTTTCACCGCAACGCTCTTTGGCACTCTGGTATGCGGCTCGCAGCTGCAACAATGACTTGGAATTGCGGCATCGTTGCAACTTCGATTGACGGGCAGAATCTCAAATAATGTCTTACATGATGCGCATGGTAGCTGATAGGAAATGCCAGGTTGCACCTGCAGGAGCAGTTTCTTAATGGTCAAATGCAAGTCTACGGTGGAGCTCAACCGACGACGATTCACGTCAAGTGCCTTGCCGACCTTTGGATACTGCTTTCGATACCAGGGAGGTAAATAAATGTGCAGCATAGGCAATCGCTCTTCCAAAAAGCTAGATGACAGCTCCATCAGGGGTCCCTTGTGTTGTCCATGCAAGCTGAACAGAATGACAACTGCTCTTTCGAATAGGCCATGCTCCTTGAACTGCTCAAGGTAAGTCACAAAATCTTTATCCACATTTGCCGCTCCACTAAAATCGTCGTTACTAAAACTTTTCGTCCAGAAGATACCAAAGAAGGGCTTTGGTGTCTCGTGTACAAAACGCTGAACCAGCTGAAGACAATAGTCAAAAACGTACCGGAAACTCTGTTTGCGGCCCAAACAGTAGTCATATTTAAGGCGTCTGAACTTTGTCATGATCTTCTCGAATGCTTTCATTATAGGATTCAGATAATAATCCACTGGCCGTCGAGTAAAATTAAAAGTGGCAATGTCCTCGGCATAGGCTGTCAAGTAACCGGAATTGTGAAAATGATTCCAGAGGAATGCGATTGCGTCCAGGCAGCCCGGCTTTCTTATATTGCAAAATGACAGCCACTGTTGCGATGATCGACCCGTTAATAAAATTATGAAATTTTGGAATATATTATCGCCAATCGTGTTATAGCCAAGCATCTCATACCAGCCCGGCTGACGCACAAAGTGTGCTGTGAGCGGCATTGTCCTCTGGAAGTTCATCTGCGACATGGAATCAATACCCAGCATTATTACGCTAGGAAAGGTCCGACTACGTTCTTTATCGTTCTTCTCGTTGCAATTGAGTGGATACTGGACAAAGGAAAATGCGTCGCGTTGTAGCACTCGTGATCTGTTGCGCAACTCAAAACATTCCACTACAATACCCTGAACGTGACGAGGTACAATCCAATCCCGTTGGGAAAAAATGGATCTCTTGTGCCTAGAAGTGAAATGGTCAGCATAAGTTTTGAAATGAACGAAACTGCTAGCTGGTGCTGTAACAACCTTCAATTGGGACAATTTTATACGCACCAGGAAAGGGAATCATCTGGTCCTCGGATTATCTCATGAAAAACACAGCCATAGTCGGAAATATTTGGAAACAGCTGAACGAACAGAGACTCATTGAATTTTACTATATATTGCTTCTCTTTCAGGTCATATCGTACGGTAAATAAATCGGGCTGATTTGTACATTTCTTAAATTTGGGAGGCTTAAAAATATTCATGACATCCTCGGAAAATGGATCAAGTCGTGGAATTTTACATTTATGGTCGAAAACCCAGAAATAGTTGTTTGACGAAGAAATTTTATCGGGCTTATTGCTAATCGGTGAGTGCACACTAAATAAACTTGAGCGATTTTGAGAGGGTTGTGTACTTTCCTCAACTACAACAACGTTCGCATCACGATTTACAAATATGCAAATAAATAAAAGAACAACGATGGCAATTATAAGTTTACCATTATTATTCAATAGGCGAAACATTGTTGTAGCTTATGGATTTGTTTTGTGTGAGATTTAATTGAAAGCCTTCTATTTAATTTTAAGCAAATTTTATTTATTTCATAATTAGGCACATCATTTGGATATGGTTATGGAAAGTACGCTCCCGTTCGATTGATTCTGCTTAGGTTCCTTGGGGCATATCTGAACATATTTATTCATAGACTATGGAAACTGATCATCTTTTAAGCCCCTTCATTATTTTGTTCATAGTAAGCAATACAAGATGCCTTGGTTGATACCTCGCGTGATGTAATGGATATCTATAAACCAATCATGCAGAAGGTTACGACTGAGATACGACTTGAGCACAATGCACTAGTCTGTAACCTTCAGGATATTTTCACCTCTCATTAATGCATTCCCAATTGATGCTATCTGTATGTGGCTTTGTTATCCTTACCACTTGAATCTTATCATGAGAAACAGGCGAGAAAAATATTAGGTGAACTTAAGTGAAAGCTTTCGTAAATTATAAGTATTTATTCCATTACATTGTCAGTGTTAGGTTAAGGTAATTTTATTTGAAGTGAGGTGCATTGTCTCGAATTGTCTTGAATTATTAAAATTGTGCTATGAATTAATTTACATGTTTTCCTTAGTCCAGCGAAAGGGTTAATTTCAGAATCGCCATGATGGACGCAACTCGGTTTGAAAATTTTGCCGTAGTTCACAATAATGTTGATTTAAGTAATTAAATTTACCCGCTTGATAAATAACCTAGTAGGCTCTCTATCAAACCTTTGAATCAACAAACTTTAACACATCTAACTACGACAATGTATCGCTGCCTGGGTAGCAATAAGGGAAAGGTAGTACTTGCCATCTTTTTACTTCTATGCATATTTATATTTGTCAACCGGCATACAAATGATGCAGTGGAACATTCAAGCATAGTTAATAAAAAAGCCCTGACCAAGCCGAAATTGTTAAGCACACTCAATGGACAATTTACGACACGCAGATCAGCTTTTAAAACAGAGAGCAGCTCAAACATGGATTTCAATGTTTTTGATCACAAATGCAAAATACCACGACCTAATCCATTTTCCGAAGACGTTATGAGCATTTTTGAGCCGCCCAAATTTAAGGAATGTGCAGATCAGCCCGATTTATACACAGTTCGATATGATCTGAAGGAGAAGCAATATATCTTACAATACAATGAGTCTCTGTTCGTTGAGCTCGTTCCAAATATTTCCGACTATGGCTGTGCTTCTCACGGGCTACTTCGAGCTCCAGATGATTCCCTTACCTGGTGTGTATTGAATTGTCCCCTTGTTGGGGCATAAGCGAAATCGTTTTCAATTTAAGACATGCTGTCGTTTCGATTTTAGGAACATAATAACCCCATTTTCCTGCCATGATTGGATCGTACCTCGTCACGTTCAGGGTATTGTAGTGGAATGTTTTGAGTTGCGCAACAGATCACGAGTCCTACAACGCGACGCATTTTCTTTTGTCCAGTATCCACTCAATTGCAACGAGAAGAGCGACGAAGAACGCAGTCTGACCTATCCTAGTGTTATAATGCTGGGCATTGATTCCATGTCGCAGATGAACTTCCAGAGGACAATGCCGCTCACAGCACACTTTGTGCGTCAGCCGGGCTGGTATGAGATGCTTGGCCATAACACTATAAGTGATGGTACCTTCACCAATATGATAACTCTTTTGACGGGCAGCTTGCCGCAAGAGTGGAAACATTATTGCGATATAAAGAAGCCGGGCTGTCTAGACGCACTCACTTACCTCTGGAATCATTATCATAATGCTGGCTATCAGACAGCCTATGCCGAGGACACTCCCACCTTTGTTCTGACACGACAGCCGGTGGATTATTATCTAAATCCTATAATGAAAGCATTCGAGAAGATCATGACAAACTTCAGACGCCTTAAATATGACTACTGTTTGGGCCGCAAACAGAGTTTTCGGTACGTTTTTGACTATTGTCTTCAGCTGGTTCAGCGTTTTGTACACGAGACACCAAAGCCCTTCTTTGGAATCTTCTGGACGAAAAGTTTTAGTAATGACGATTTTAGTGGAGCGGCAAATGTGGATAAAGATTTTGTGACTTACCTTGAGCATTTCAAGGAGCATGGCTTATTCGAAAGAGCAGTTGTCATTCTATTCAGCCTACATGGTCAACACAAGGGACCCCTGATGGAGCTGTCATCTAGCTTTTTGGAAGAGCGGTTGCCTATGCTGCACATTTATTTACCTCCCTGGTATCGAAAGCAGTATCCAAAGGTCGGCAAGGCACTTGACGTGAATCGTCGTCGGTTGAGCTCCACCGTAGACTTGCATTTAACCATTAAAGAGCTGCTCCTGCAGGTACGCCCGTCCTTGCGCTTTGAGAAAACCTGCCAGGACTGTAAGTCGTTACTTGACGTCATTCCAGATAAGCGCTCTTGTAAGGATGCCTGGATACAGGATCACTGGTGCAGCTGTGAGCCGTATACCCAACAACCAATTACTGAATCAATTGAAATATTGGCAAAGACAATTGTTTACCGCATAAATCAATTTATATATAGTAATAATTACACCATGCTGTGTTATCGTTTGGAGCTTAAAAGTGTGCTTAGAGCCGAATGCAAGATAAACTTTGATTTTAATGGACTTCAGGTGCCGCCACCCGATGAAATGGAAAGGTATCGGATTCAGTTCACTACTCGACCAAGAGGCAAATTTCGTGGAATAGTTTTAAGTAACGTGCAAGCTAATGTCGTGGAAATGCCAGAGACGCACATAAGCCGCTTAGAGCCCCATGGGCGTTGTGTGCAAGAACCCTTAGCCGCAAAATATTGCGTTTGCCGACCTTCATAATAATGTTCATCAATAAAGTCAATTATTATACCCTTGCAGATGGTATTATAATTTTGACATAAAATGTGTAACGCATAGAAGGAGACTGAAGTTGGTGTAAATGACATCAGTTTGCAATTTAGAAGGAAAAGCATCGTTTACCAAGGAAGTAAATTCAAGCAGATTGATCGTAATGACCGATTCTTTGAGAATTCATGTTGAACTGATTTGCAGAAATGCTGCAAAATCGATGTGACTAGGTATTTCTTCGAATAACTTAGGGTTAGCGGATAGTTTTCAATGCCCCTGTGTTTTTTTTTTTAATAAAAATATAAAATTTACTCGGGGAGAGATATTTGATATATGGTTAGTGATATTACCCAGAACTATATTTGCTATGCAATTTGCTTTGCTAGCTTTGGGTAATATAATTTGCTGCGCTTAATTTGATTAAATTTTTGTCGTCCGTGCCCTTTTAAACTAGGCAAATATCAATGAGACTTCCTTATAGCTTCGGCAAATTAAATGTTAGAAAATTGTCTCTATTGTTAAAGATTCTCGGAAATATAATATTTCCGTTCTTTTTGGGCGTACTATCTTGTTCTATCTTGTTCGAACATTGGTATCAAAAACAATCATGTTTTTTGATAACAATTTTGTAGTAGTAGCTAGCAACAATAGAGAATAAAATTTTTAATTTTATCGAGATTTTTAACATTGATACACATTGAAACTCTGTGAGATATCAGTAAAAATTAGTTAACGGTGACCTGCCGCCAAAACGAAACTAAAAAAAATATATAAATGTTTTTAAAGTTTTTAGAGTCAATAAGGTATCTGTGTAATGAATTTATGCAAATGATGGTAACAATTAAAGTAAGACATGTCCAAGGAGCATAGACCGGGTCTTTGGCAGATTCCACCCGCAACAGTGGAAAATTGGCGGAACACGGTAGTATACTTTTTTAAGATTTTATTTTTTATAGATCTTTAAATTCATTTGAGATGTGTTTTAAATTTTAATTTGGTGGGAATATTCTGTTTAATATTTGAAACAGAAAACTGTTCCGACTAGTTCTCTACATGTATCAATATAATTATAATAAAAACTGGCTAGGCCTTGATATCACTAAAGCATATACAATACAATTTGGCGATTTTATCACTAATACAAGTAGAATCCTCCTTATAGGAATTCGTACGACTGATACTCTCCACATTCACGTCTACAGCTTCTGTTTTATTGTTGAAGACAACCGTGGCCTCAAAATCGGCGCTGTTCTGTATCACCTTAAACTTGGTGCGATAAACGGCGATTTCGAGTTCGGGTAAATCATCCTCCCAACTGACGTCTACGCTCATTTTAATTTCCGTTCGGTGTATATAATGTAATGTTAGATTGCTGCATAAATGGCTGAGGTTCTTGTGCACAAAGTACTCGTTCATGCGATCTATAACACGTGGCGCAATTCGTTTAGTCCAATGGAGTTGATCGATATTTCGATACGGATGGCAGGTGCACCAATGCTCCGCGATGCCCGCCTCCGGACAGGTGCGATTTTCAGCGATTGGATAGAACAGAGATTGACAGGTGGGGCAATCATAGGATCTCGGCAGAGCCGGACCATCCGGAGTGCCGCCAATCTCGATGATATGCTTTAGAGTGTTGTGCAGATCAAAATTGGAGCTCAGGCGATGTTGGTTCAAGGCCAGGGCTTCAGTAAACTGCGGATACTGTTGTCGGAACCAGGGAGGCAAATAGATAAACATCATGGGCAGGCGTTCCTCCAAATAACCCTCGGCTAAACTCAATAAACTGCCATAGCGTACACCATGATCGGCAAAGAATATCATAATTGTATGCTCCATGGAGCCATCCTTTTCGTAGTTGATCAAATCACCCAGAACCTTATGCTGCATGGCCGAGGGCATAAAGTAATCATCGTGACTGAAGTGATTCGTCCAGAACATGCCCCAAATGGGTCTCTCTTCCACATAGCGCTGCATGAACTGTCTGCCGTAATCATAGATATAACTATTGGCCAACCGGCGGCCATAGCAATAGGTCATGCGGCAACCAGGACAATTATAGTTATCCGCCTCGCACTCGAGAGCGCGCAGAAATGGACGAAAATAGTAATCGGTTGGTTTTTTGGTAAAGCCCGGCTTTAGGTAACTAAACGTATTCGATGGGCTCTCATCCTCTGCATAAGCAGTCAAATAGCTAGCATTACTGAAGTACTTCCAGATCATGGGAATCTCATCGAGGCAGCCACTTTTGTCCGTATCGCAGACATGCTCTTTGGCCTTCTCCGGCGAATAGCCACTCAGTATGGCAAATATATTGGGAAATGAATTGTCGCCCACCTGTAAGTTGAGCAGTTCAGCAGTTTGAGACTAGAAACATTTGAGTATACTACCTTATTGTAGCCCTGCATTTCGTACCAGCCGGGTCCCTGTAGATGCTTATAAACCAAGGGCATAGTGCGACGGAGATTAATTCGGGATAATGTATCGATGCCATACATTATAACACTTGGTTTGCGTGGATGTGTCTTATTAGATGGTTTAGTAGCATTCATATTCGGCCGATATTGTATGAACATATAGGCATCCTTTTGCAGCTTGACGGGCGGTATCTCGGCCGTCTCGCACTGCAGCATCAGGCCCTCAACGTGAAGTGGCACTACATGGTCCTGAGAGAAATATTTGCTTGGCTTGAGCCTGTGCGAACACAAAGGGAATACTTTGTAAGGAAGCTCTGGGCTAACAT